AATGGTGCCAAGATTCAAAGGCATAAGAATGCAGGAAATGGAAGTGGTCAGTGTGTCAAGACATAAGATGAAAGAGGGCATAAGGGGGAAATGAGGGTTAAAATATAATAGGAACTTCTGCCTTGGTCCACTTTGGGGAAAAAAGAGATCAGACTTACCCAGCTATCATACATAAATGACTGGGAACATAGAGATGATATACGAAAACTGATTTTCAGTGTGGAAAACAGGCAGCACAGGAATGTGATGCCTGAGAGAAGGGGAACAAACTAAGTGAATCTTATCACTGTCTCAGCTTTCTGCCTGTGAGTACTCACAAATAGCTATAATGCAGAAGGAGACACTTAGGAAGGTGCAGAAATCTTGCTGAGATGAGGCAAGAGAGACCAGAGTTTGGGAGAGGCTCAGAAACTGAATTTGTGCTACAGAGTACCATAGAGAAAGTTGCTACCCAAAGAGATCCAGTTTCCTCCTCATGGGTTCCCTGGAAGCTCAAGCTGAATACTAAGCTATATAAGATAAGACTCCCTGGGTCTGAACAAAGAATTTCCAGGGCGCTGTAAGCTGAGCAATACCCAGAGCTCACAGGAGATTGGGATATATTTTGAGTTTGAACCAACTAGAGGGCATGGGTTCACAGAAGACACAAGCATTCAATTGAGACCCCAGAAGAGTCATACCTTAGTAAAAAGGCTAAACTAGTCCTAGAATAATGTCTACAAACCTTTCAAACAACCATCAAAAGGGTCAAACTGATCTATAAGAAACTACCTGCCAAAACAAAGTCCCTATTCTGTAAAAGAAGACAACAAAATCTAGGCACATGACAACATACATTTACAATGTCTAGCATCCAATCACAAATTACTAGATATACCAAGAAATATGAAATGTGACCTAAAATAGGAGAAAACTCAGTTGACAGGAATTGAACAAGATAGGAAGAAAATGACAGAATTCACATATAAGTATATTAAATTAGCTATTATAAATATGCTCAACACTCTCAAAGGTTAAAGGAAAACATGAATCTAATGAGGACAAATGGAAGATTAAAAAAAACTAAGTGGAACTTCCAGAGGTAAACATACAACATCTGAAATGAAAATTGGCTGGGCTCAACAGCAGATTAGACACTTCAGAAGAAATGATTAATGAACTTGATATAGCAGCAGAAATAGTCCAAACTGAAACAGAGAATAAAGAATCTTTTAAAATGAACAGAGCTTCAGTGACTGGTGGTATAATATCAAATGGCCTATCATATCTGTGATTGGAATCCCAGAGGAGAAGGGCAAGAAGAGGCTCAGAAAAATATTTAACTAAATGATGGGTGGAAAATTTCCAATTTGATAAATTTGAATAAAGATTACAAACCTACAGATCCACCAAGCAGAATAAAAACAAAGAAGACCACATCAAATCACTTCATAATCACATTGCTGAAAAACAGTGACAAAGAGAAAACCTTATAAGCAGCCTTGGAAAAAAGAGATACATTACATGCCAAGGAACAGGATAAAAATACTGCAGATTTCTTAAGAGAAACTACACAAGCACAATGAATGACATCTTTAAGATTCTTTAAAGTATCAACCTGAAATCCTTCAAAAATGAAAGCAAAATATTTATTCAGACAAACCAAAACTGAGATAATTCATCACCAGGAGACCTACAAGACACATAAGATGTTCTTCAGGCAGAAGGAAATGATGTCAGAAATTTGAATTTTCACAAATAAAGATGTGAAGAGCATCGGAAATGGTAAATACAAAAGACTTTTAAAAAAATTCTAAATTGTCTAAAAGAAAATTGACAGTTTAAAACAGTGTGCTGTGGGGTTTATTACATATGTAAAGGGAAATATGACAAAAATAACACAAAGAATGAAAGAGGGGAAATGGAAGCTGTAAAGATCTGATAGTAAATAAGAAGTGGTATGATGTTATTTGAAAGTAGACTATGGGCCGGGTGCTGTGGCTCACGCCTCTAATCCTAGCACTCTGGGAGGCCGAGGTGGGAGGATCGCTGGAGGTCAGGAGTTCGAGACAAGCCTGAGCAAGAGCAAGATGCCGTCTCTACTAAAAATAGAAAAAAAAAATTAGCCAGTCAACTAAAAATAGAAACAAAAAATTAGCCCAGCATAGTGGCTTGCTCCTGTAGTCCCAGCTACTTGGGAGGCTGAGGCAGGAGGGTCATTTGAGCCCAGGAGTTTGAGGTTGCTGTGAGCTAGGCTGACACCATGGCACTCACTCTAGCCCAGGCAACAAAGCAAGCTCTGTCTCAAGAAAAAAAAGAAAGAAAGAAAGCAGACTATGGTAAGTTAAAGATGCGTTTTATACACCCTAGAATGAAAGAGAGAAAAAGAGAATATGAAGGCCAATACTTGAGATAAAGTAGAACACTAAAGTACGCTCAGTCAATCTAGAAGGAGGCAGGAAAAAAGGAATGAAGAATAATAGGACAAACAGAAAACAAACAAATGCAAGATGGTACATTTAAACTCAACCACATAATTACCTCAGAAGTAAATGACCTAAACACTCCAGTTAAAAAGCACACATTTGTCAAGCTGAATTTTTAAAAAGAAGACCCAGTTCTATGCTGCCTACAAGGATAGAGAATCCCACTTTAAGAATAAAGATGCAGATAGATTTAAAAATTAAAAGGATATAAATATACATCATGCAAACACTAAGACATCTGTAAGACATCTGTAAGACATCTGTAGTGGCTATATTGACATCGGACAGTGTAGACTTCAGAACAAGGATAAAGGACTGATGTCCAGGGTCCTGGGGCCAAGCGTTATGCTATTGCAGCCATCTCGGGTGATGTCCACAGATGCACAGAATTGGAATCCTCGGGAGGGCTAAAAACACAGATTGCTGGGCGCCACCCCCAGAGTTTCTGATTCATATCTGGACTGGGTCCTGACAGTCTGATTTCTAGCAAGTTCACCAGTGATGCTGACGCTGCTGGTCTTGAGACCCACTCTGGAACTGGTTTGGACAAATCACCGAACCTCTTCTTCCTCTTTAAAGTGGACATAATCTTATCTTGAATGGATAATGTCATAATTAGAGAGATAAAATAAGGAAGCAAGGTCTCTGGAAGTGTAGATATTGATTTCTGGCCATTGATTAACTGGAATTGAGATTGGGATCTTAGATAAACGGAACCCTAAGATTCTGCTTCAACCAACACGTTGTGGAGGGGGGTGCCACTGAGGCAGCAAATACAGGAGAAACAGATTTTGGGGTGAAAATAATGAGTCTAATTTTGGAGTTTAAATGTGTTTTCCATGCAGTACCCATATATCTTTCTCACTCTGAAAAATAAAGGTCTGTGCTGGGGACATTTACTGGCTCACTCATTTTTTTACCATAGTTTAATTTTGTGCCTTCAGTAGGCACTTGGAGCTTTGAAAAATCGATGAGTGTTTGCTGGCCCCGCGCTGGCCTTTCTGGTCTGTGCACTTGCATTCAGTCGGGCACTGACCGGGACTCCGGAAGGTGCACATTTGTGGGGGGCAAATGCCACAAATGCACATTTGTGGGGGGCAAATGCCACAAATGCACATTTGTGGGGGGCAAATGCCCCAAATGCACATTTGTGGGGGGCAAATGCCACAAATGCACATTTGTGGGGGGCAATGCCACAAATGCACATTTGTGGGGGGCAAATGCACAAATGCACATTGGGGGGCAAATGCCACAAATGCACATTTGTGGGGCGCAAATGTTACAAATGCACATTTGTGGGGGGGCAAATGTCAAACCAGTGAGGACCAGAGACCCAAGACACGTGTTTCTCGAGTCAGGAAAGGTTGCTGACGGTGGGCGAGGAATGCAGAGTTTCAGGAAATACTTCCTAATCGTTAGTCATGATTTGTTGTCGTTGTCGTTCTTATAAAGGCGATTGATACTGGCTTCCTTTTCTACCGATTTTGCTGACGCTGCCTCAAGTGTTCTGTCGCTTCTCCGTGGCGAGGGCTTTGTGTGGTTTCACGGCGAGCTGGGAGAAGGACGGCGCTCAGCCGCGCGTCCGCACCGAGCCTGCGATGCCGCGCCTGCCGCAGCCGCCGCGGGAACACTGGGGTCGCCAAGCTGTCCCCGCGGAAGCAGCGTCCTGCTCTTTCACGAACATGGAGATTGGCCGCCGCCTCGCGGGGGGCCGCGGGGACGGGGACAGCTCGCGGGAGTCCAGGCGACGCCGCCTCGCGGTCACCCCCAAAGCAGGGGGCGCCGCGGCCCGGCCCTGTCCCCGTCACTTAGCAACGTCGTCATCGGTACCCTCCGCCCCGCCGGCGGCGACGATGCCGGTGGTCCGCAGGCACGAAGCGCTCCGCTCCGTCCGCCGCGGCGGCGCTGTCCGCGGACGGACGCGGGGGGGGCTGCGCGCGGCCGCACTGTCGCGGGCTTGTCGCGGGCTCGCCCGGGCGAGGACGGGCTGCGGGCGCGCCGGAGGGAGCCGCGAGGACCGCAGCCCCGGCCCGCCCCCGCAGCCGGGCAGCGCGCTCCTGCCCCAACGGGGGGCGCGGGCCGGGCTGCGGGTGGGCAACGCGGGCGGGAGCTGGGGTGCGGGCCGGGCGGGGCGGGAGCGCGGAGCCCCGGCGCGGGAGCCCCGGTGACGCACCAGTGACGTCCGTGGCGGCGGGCGGGATTTCCCGGCCCCTCCCGGCTCTGGGCGAGACCCTGCCGCGGAGTGGGCGCGACCAACGTGGCGGGAAGGGGGCGAGGGTCGCAGGGTCGCCGGCCTCTCCCCACGTCGGGCCCCGCACGACGCGAGGCGCCGAGCGGCAGCACCTGGCGGCGGGCGGCCCCGCTCCCGGGCCGGGCAGGGGACGGGGAGGCGGACTCGCACCGGGCGCGCGGCCCCTCCCCGGCCCCGCGTGTCTTTCCCGGCCGGGCGGGCGGGGCCGGGCGGCGCGAGACCCCGCGGGCGGAGGGGCGGCGCGGGCGCGCGTTGGCACCGCGAGCCGCACACCCGGGCGCGGGGCCCGACCCGCCGCCCAGCCCCGCCCCATGAGAACGACGCTGCTCGGCCCGGCCGCCCCCCGCGTGCACCGCGCCCGAGACAAAGCCCGCGCGCCCCGCTCCGGTAAGTGGGCGCCCGCGGGGTGCGGGGGCCCCGCTGCCCCGGGAGGGACGCGCCGCGGCCGGGCCCGGTGTGCGGGCGGGGAATGCCGCGGCCCTCGCTGCGGCGAGCTGGGGAGAGCCGGAAACAACAGCGAAAGTCGGGCAAGAAAGTCTCTGCAACTAGAGGCACGGTCCCGGCGCCTGTGTCGTTCTGACGCTGTCGGTGGCCGCCCGCGACACAAAGACCGGCGGTCGTCTCGGCCGCCCGTCGCTGGCCCGGCCTCCGCGGCGCCCGCACAGGTGGACGTCCGCGGCCCGCGTCGCCAGGTGCGGGCTCCCTGGAGTTCCCGGGACCTGCGTGCTGAGCCCTGGGAGGCCCGAGCGCAGGTTTGGACAGCCCGCTCGGGACGCGTAGGGGGTCCCCCGCGGTCGCGTGGCCCCCTCTCTCTGGCTCGAGGCAGGCGGAGGCTTCTGAAGGACCGACCCCCTTCCATATGTAGGTCACAGGGCGGCTGCTGTTCTCCCGGCGGGGACGTCCTCCGTTGAAGAGGACCTTAGTGGAGGGACATGGAATGGCTAGGTGGTCATTTGTTTGGGGAAATGTGTTTGGCGAGTGCCTGCGGAAGCCCTCGCGAGTCCCCAGCACCCTGGGACCCCTGCCTCGGGAGCGGTTCCGGTGGTGACTGTGGACGACAGGGTGAGGGTTTGTTTTATGGCGTCTGTCCCCAAGGCTGGTGCTGAAATGTGCTGCGCTCGCCGCGCGCGCACCCGGCTGCATTGGGGCAGCCTGGGCTTCATTTTATAATTGCCTCGGAAATAACGGGAGGGTGAGGTGGGGGGACAGAGTGTGGTTGGAAAAGACGCCTTCATTTGGAAAGATTTGCTTCATTTCGTGCATTTGGGGCTAAGGTGTTAGGAAACCTAAAAACGTTGAAGTTGGGTCGAGTGATAAAGTGGATCGCAGACACCAGGTCTCCCCAGCCTCGGGGCTGCCGGCTGGCTTCTCTTCCTGTCGCCTCCAGGACTGTAAAAGGCTGGCACAGGGCCCGGGCCTTTCAGCCAGAGCAAAAGGCCTCCTGGGCTGCTCCTGTGTTCTCCATTAAACGTGTCAGTCCTGTCGTCTGCTCATGAGTGAGTGAGGTGTGGTGCTTCCCACAGTGGGACAGCAAAATGCAGCAGCGAATGCCTCAAAGCGGCTGGGAGGGGACCTAAGCTCTGTGGTTGGCAACTCCTTTTCCTGATTGTCGCTGCGGCGGGGGAGGGGAGGCTCACCAGCCTCTGCTCTGGCTCTTTCCTGCGAGAAGAACTGCGGCGATGAAAGGAAAGCCTTTTCCAGCCCAGAGAAACAAGACGGAGCACATGTGAACTGCGGATTATTTTTGAAGTGTGGGGTTGGGGCAATGATCAGTCATGATAAGAGAGGGCCGGCCGTGGCACTTCACAAATAGCAGGTGTCATTGTCTATACAAGGTTTATTGTAATGCTTTGTTAGTGAATGAGTAGCTTCACTATGGGGTTATTAGGCTGCAATGACTATTTAGGACAATGGACTTCCTGTTGGCCCCTCCACCCATGCCCAGCTCCAGTCCCCATAACCCCTTAAAATATAAAATTGCCCAAAGGAAGCTGGCTAATCAGCACAGCAAAAGGCTCGTTCCCAGGGGTCCCATGACTGGCTGGGCAATTACCTTTGACATTTCTCGTGCAAGTCGACAGTGGAGAAAGCAGAAACAAAGCTTTTTCCATGTTCATTTTACAGTTTTTAAAGCAAAAGTGACAGTCTCTGAAGCACACCCCGCAAATCCCAAAGCATTCTTTGAAATGGTGTTATAGAACATCAGGTGGGAACATGGACCCTGGTCCCTGGGCATGTGGTGCCCAGAGCTGTCTCAGAAGAACAGGAACACTTGGGATTTAGGAGTGATTGTATAAAACGCCCCCCCCACACACACACACACACTCACACTCACCACACAACTACTGCTTACAGAGGAACCAGAGACTAAAGTCCGTAACCAACAAATTGTTCTCAATTATTTATAGCCACATCTCACTATCACATTTTTCTTAGTTTGTCTCATTTTCTGCTTGCAGAGGGGAGAATGCCTATTATGTGTCAGAAGATTTCCCTTTTCTTAATGGAATTTCGAAACCATGTCTTTAAAAGATTACCTGATTGTTCTCAGAGCACCTTTCTGAGCATGCACTACTATCTGATCTTGCTGATTTTCCTTTGTAATTTGGCATTTTTATTCACTCTAGACATACTCAGGCAGGGAGTCTTTTATTATTCAGGTAAAGGGATTATTTGTTCAGTTTTCTTAAACCAGAAACCAAAATTTAACTTCTTTAATACTCCATAAGTACTACAGAAATGTCCCATCAACAGTGATTAGCAAGAATGTTTTCACCGAAAGTCAGAAAAGCTAAATGAGTACCAGAAAAAAAAAACAAAAACACAAAGAGATCAATTAATTACAGGATAATACTACCGAAAGGCTTTAAGTAGCTGGTTAAAACCATATGAAGAATAAGCCAAAGACCTTGAATAAATGATCAGAAGTGAAAATGAAATTTCCATTTTAGGGAAGGAAATAGAGGCAAGAAAAACTGCTGAAAGAGAAAGTGACTGCAGAGAAAAACAATGGGTACTTGAAAAGAGATCCATTCAGCAAGCTAGCTGGAGCATTCCAAATCCCTTTAATAGCCAAAGAGCTTTTGTTAGGTCAAATGGTAGCTGGTGGGCAATCAGTTTTCCTGCTGGAACCCGGCAGACAAAATGGCAGGCGTCATGCAGATAGGGGACATGTGGCTGTGTTGAAGCCATGGCACTTACTGTGGAATGGGCCCTGCGTGCCCAGGAGAAGTGAGAAGGGGGCATGTGGAGCCGCGGAGGAGCTATTCATCTCCATGGCCCTGAGGTTTGTGGGTGTCTGCAAGCAAGTCCCCGAAAGCCCCACCTAAGAGGACCAGGCAGGGTAAGGAGCTCAGGTTGGTGGGCAGCAAGGGGAAGGGAGGGCCTGCCCTTGCCCGGTGTGGGCTGGACGCATCCTGCAGGTGATGGACTCTGATCCTCACCTGATACCTGCAAGGTTTTCCTAATTTGCAAAAAAACAGCAGCGACTGCTAGTGTCCCGCCCGCCCAGGCGAGTTCTGGCTGGGAGTTTGGTGGGTGGTGGGAACTTCTTTTAACCAGCAAAGGAAGAGCACGCACAAATGGTAAGTGCAAGCAACTGAGACGTGTGGAAGAGAGGGAAGAGAAGAAGCCAGGCGGTGGCGTGTGCTCCTTCCCAGAGGATTTGTTCCTCTTCTTATACATTCCTCAAACCAGTCCTGCCTGGGTTGCCGGGCTGGCTCTCTCTAGTGGGACACTCATACGATGAAGCCATAGAAGGGCCCCCAGGGATAGCAGAAATGCTACAAGTGTCCCTCTGGGGCCCAAGGGATTTCTGTCCCCAGCCCCTCCCCCCACCCCAATAACACGTGCACAGTGTGGGGCCACAGCCCACAGGCACTGACTGGCACTAACTGGGTGTTCGCGCCTTTCTCCCCCATCCTGGGCTTCCTCCTGGTGCTCCTGCCTAGTTTCTAGCCGTGGGGCCTCCTCTCCCAGCCCTCCCCGCTCGCCACCATAGAGAGAGGCAGGGCAGTAGGCATAGGGAGGGGGAAACATTCATAATTCTTTCAAAAATTCCTATTCAAGCACCTCTACAACTGCACCAGAAAAGTTTCCAAAAGAAGGAAATGTTCCCCATAATCCCAACATCCAAGTTCAACTTTGTTTACCTCTTCTGCTGTTCCGTCACACAGATATGTAAAATGGAGAGACTTCCACCAAAACAGTGTCCATGTGTGAGGTCCGAGTAGGAGAGATGGGATTAGACAACGGGAAGGAAGGAGCAAGGACACTAGGACAGGGGTGGGGGAAGCAGAGCAGTGCCGAAGGTCCAGAGTGGCTTATTCTCCACGATGGCCCAGGGGGACTCTGTGGCCCAGAAGCGAGGACAGGAGTAGCAGACCGGGGTGGCCGTGCCCCAGGCTGGGACTCTGTCTTCCCAGGGCGTCAGGCTCTCAGAGGCAGGGGGCAGAGGTCAGGCAGCCCACCTTTGCTGACCGTCCCCCAGGGGCAGACCGTGAGCAGCCTCGGAAAGGGCTGTGTGTCCTCCCGCTACACGCGCCCTTGCTGGGGTCCGGCAGCCCAGCGCCCTCACAGACTGAGTACGGTGGCAGCGCCCCCTCCTTGGCACTGGGACCCACTGTCACAGGGGACTCCGCCTTCCCATCGCTCCCTCTCTGTGCCAGGGTCCCAGCATACCCAAGAGCCAGCGTCCTCCTCTGGACTGTCTGTCCTGCCCCATGGCCCTGGGGTCCCTGCAGCGTGCACAGCCTGCGTGGAAATTTCCAGCAGGGCTTTCCCTCAGCCCAGAGCCTGTGGCACACTAAGCCTGCATGAGTCAGGCCCTGTTTGGTTTTCGTTTCCCTTCGGCAGTGCTGGGAAAATTCTGTTTTCTCCATGCCCCAGCTAACCTCGCCTGCAGCCCGGGGGCTGCCCCCGTGTGCTTGTTTCCCCCCGGTCCGTGTGGGGCCGCACGGAGGACAGAGGGCTGCAGCCTGGTTAGGGAGACCCCGTGACTTCAGTCCACAACGCGTGTGTGTCTGGTGGCGGGCACGGGGAAAGCCGAAGTTACGAGGGTGCACACACAGCCGGGCTTCCTGACGCTCCAGGGCAGTGGTGGGAATGGAGTGTGGCCAGTGGGGGACAGTGGCAGACGTGAGTGAAGAATCCCAAAGTGCTGACCTCAAAGTAAATACAGGGAAACGGATGGTGGCGTCGGCCACTGAATTCTCTCTGGAACAGGTGTGTGATCCTTAAATTGGCCTCCATCAGTGTCACACACTTCCTGCCCTCTGTGAATTTTATCTGATGGGGACAGAGTCGCTGGCACCTCTGTGTGCCTGGGTCCCTGCCGCCGTCGCCTGTCTCTGGACAGCTACACCCGTCGACCTTCCAGTGGGAGGTTA